GTTAACCTTTTTCTAGTCCCTTCGCTTCCTCATTTTCATAATGCATTTTTTTTAGTCAAACAGAAGGGGCTGACGACTCACCTGAACCCAAACATTAGATTTCCATCTTAACAGAAAATAATTCCCCTTCCCTTTGGGGAGGTTCTTTGAATGTAGTCATTACAAAGGTTTATAGCTGATCTACGTTCCCGTGCTGAGAATAGTTGCCTGGAGAAAAGAATCCCTCTATTCCACAGAGTCTCAGAACTGCTACACCTGGAGCATCATGCTGCTAGTTAGCACTTGTTTCTAGTAGGCCATGTCTGCTACAGCGAATAGAGTCAATGCAGCCACATAGGGTCTGTCCAGACGTATTTACACATTGGTTCCAAGGCCCACATAGGCTGAGCCTGTTTCACCTAAACACAGTGCGACCATTTGCAAACTATGAGCAAAAAAGCCCAGCTCTAGGGAGCTGGAGAAAATACTCTAACTATACCCTACACACGCATCTGTTTTCTTCAGGGTCATGATACAAATTCCACCATCCAGCTTTTGAAAGGCAGCTCAAAAGACATTTTGATGCTACCTGTTGGATGCTAGGTGGTAGCAGCACATAGCTTTGAAGTACATGACCATGAATTAGCGATTGTCCTATATACTGTAACAGTGCATAACAGTGGCAGTGGAGGAAAGATGTCGAGTTAAGTAAAAATTTACTATTTTTAATCGTAGAAATTCCATCCAGGAAAAACGTTCACCAACTGCAGGTGTTTCCTCAGCCTGATGAAGGGCTTTTAAACCTGAAAGCTTGCTAAGAAAAAAAATTTCACCTGTTTAAGTTGGTTTAATAAAAGATACCAGATTCACCCAAAGAACCCTGTCTGCCTATGTCCTTAGACCAACGCGGCTACAGCCTACGCCCCTGACTTTTAAATAAGAAGCACATGTACTCATCTCTTCCCAGTGAAGCCACCTTGGTTCTCTCCTCTCTTAATCTAAAGTAAAAATAAAACTGACTGAAAGTAGCTGGTTCCTGTGTGTCTGAGAAATGCATATCAAGTTCTTGCTCTTTCTTGTTTTAAAGTAAAAGCTGTGGCGCAGATAGCTGCTCCCCTAAACCACTCCCACGGTGCCCAGAAGCCTGAATATCTTCAGCTGACCTGTAACATAGCTAAACAGCAAAAATCACTGATGAGTTATCCCAAAGTCACTGGGCTAATTAACTTTAGTAAATCATAGATTTCATAGACATTAGAGCTGGAAGGGACCTTGAAGATCATCAAGTCCAGCCTCCTGCCCAGGGGCAGGAAGTCAGCTGGGGTCAAAGGATCCCAGCAAGATAAGCATCCAAACATACCCAAAGTTTATAAATGTAGTAAATACACCTAGACTCACACATTGGTGGTGGAAACACAAAACTGAGGGCACCTGTCATGCACTTAACTGGTCAAACACAGTCATTATCAACAATAGCAAGAACAGTGAGAACCCTGGTCCCAGAGGACAAGGAATTGCACATGGCTGGGGTTTGGTCAGGAAAAGAAGGGCTGGAGACATGCGGTGGGAGAATGCATTTGTTTCCCTCATGCATTTCACTCTCCACTTCAATAACCTATTCCATTTGCTTGGGGCATAGAGGGAGGAATTTGGCCACTATTCACTGAAAATCAGGGACAGGTCCTCTTCAACAGGGGATCCTCTCCTCCCTTTTGGCACAGATCTTTGCAGAATTCCCATGGCTCACACTTAAAAGTCTGTATGTCAGTTCCTACAGCTCTATCCCATTTTGGATGTGGAAGAGGGGATTCTTAAAGTTTGAAAGTCGTAGTGCCAGAATTATTAGTGTGTTCCAATTATACATCAACCCCAAATTTTCAGGTTCCATTTAGGAAAGACAACTTTTCCCTCAAATAAACTCTAGGTATACTCCTTGAACTGCTACTGCTGACACAAAATTTCACAAGACAATCAAATAACCATTTTTGCTGAAGGTACTAAAATACCGCACCTACAAAAGTAGAGCTTGTTGGGGGGGGCTAAGTATAGGTTGACCTTATGTATAAGCTCAGTGGAATTGTTACGGTTCTTTTGGAGGTAAAAAAAAAGGTCAACTTGCAATCACAACACAGTAAGTATGTTTATGCAGCCTTACCCCAGCCCCACCTAGTATTATATATGTAGTATATATAGTACTCTATATATAGCATGTGATCATGTCATATATTATATGTATCTCTCTCTCTCTCATATATATAAAATAGTACAGTATATATTGCAATAGTTATGTGATCATGTCGTGCGTGTGTACTGGGAGGGAGGGAGACAGAGAGAGAGAGCGCACAATAGTTTTTAATTACATGATCACGTACTTTTCCCCACCTTGCTTTGTGGTGTGATCACAGCCAAGTAGTGATGGACACTGATGTCTGTGGGACCCTTGCCTCTTTGTTACAGATGTTTGTAAACACACAGTGAACTAGATCCAGAACTGCTGGGAGAGAGGTGGTTGTTTCATGTTTCAAGAACTTGAACACCAACCTGCAGAACAGGATTCCATCCCTAGCTTCGAGAAGTTCGTTTTCCCACCTCACCCTGGCTCTTTGTCAGGTCTGTCTCCTGTCCCCACACCATGCTCTTTCTCCCAACCACATTGGTGCCCAGTCCTATCATCCTTATCTGTTAGTCCCACCATCCATGTCGCTTCCTCATCCGCACTCAGTTTCCGCACCACTGACTACCTGTCTCACTCCAAGTTTCTACCAAGTGTATGTGAACTGTGAATTTTCAAACATAACTTGACCAAGTTCTAGTGAATTTTCACAGGCAGAGCAAAGGGATCACAACAGCACATGAGATAGAGGCTAGTTCTCCTTGCAGAGTTCACACCCTTGTAATAGAAGAGGGCAATGCTTAAGCTTTCAACAAGAAAGGCTGCCAGAATTTTAACAGGAAACGCAATGCATTTTGCCACAGACTCCTCCTTGGAAATTGATGAACTGCATTGAAACTGACGAAATTTAAGTTTCAATTTAAGCAGCCTGAAAGAGACACCTGGTATTTTGAAAACCTCTTTCTTTGAAAAGGTGAGAATTAGTACTGCATTCCTGTAACACACAAACTCAATTCAAACTAACAGTCAGGTTGATTCAACACCAACAATTGAGAAACTTTCATATCAAATCCTTTCTTGCCAAATATAGTCAGGGTCAAGTAAGGCATCAGCCTACTGGAGATCATCACAATCAATGAAATCTGCTAGGCTCACTCAATGCTAGTATGTCTTACGCAAAAAAGTAATAAATCCTACTCCTTTTTATCAGCATTTCAAAGGAACCAGATTGTCCAGCTAAGAAAACTCTTACAAGTGGGCTGGCATCTGTACACCAGTCTTAGTTGATGCCTAGGAAATGGCATTTAGAGGCTTGCTTTGGGAAATTGGCTTATAGGTAAAGTAGATATACATTAGAATAATGGTCCAGGGCAACAGCAAGAGATAATTGATTTCTTACTGTCTGTAAGAAAGTTTCTCCAGGGCTTGCTGTGTCTGATAGGGATAGACACACAGGCTGGAAAATTGTATGCACGTACCACACTGTTCCACAACACAAGATAAGGTGGCTCCAGCTCACAGTGCCTAAGTGCAGCTGATTTTGGGGAACAGACCAAACTAGAAGACCAGGAAAGCCCAAATTAGGATGCATGCATGTGATGGGCTTGTGAAACCATGGAATATGCTGAAGGACAGAATGTGGACAGAAGGACTGTCGGAGGGGCACGATATATGGACGGGACCCCTGACGTCCTGGTGTCTTGGAAGTCTGCGTTGTGAGCAAGAGCCTCTTTACCCCTTATAATCAACTGATATACTAGACTTTGCATGGTTTTAGGCTCATTAACGGTGAATACTTGTATTAAATAAAGCTTTTCTGTCATTCATTGAATGAGCTGTTGTGTCAGTCTTTTATACGCTAGTCCTGAATCCCATTTCATGACTTAACAGTGGGAAGCCCCTTAACTGTATGACATGGCCCTGTGCACCAGATTGGGCTGGCACATGAGACCAGACCCAGTATATGGCTCAGGAGCCAGCACAGGATCAGACCCAGCATGTGGCCCCAGACCTGGTGTTTGGATTGAACTTGGTGCACAGGGTCAAATTCAACATGTCAGGCTAGACCCAAGGCACATGGCTCCAGAGCTGGCAGTGGGTCAGACCCAGTCCATGGCCCAATACCCAGCAGCATGCCACGTTGGTGGTATGGTAGGCTGGCTGTGGGCCCTGTCTGGAACGTGGCTAGAGGCAGCCTCAGCTCCCTAGCTCCTGCTACTCAGTTTCTGCAAGGAAACATTCTGCCCTGTTATGATCTTTCCAAGCTCTTTGCAACAGAAGAATTGCTCAGCTACTTCCCTGTAATCAAAAATGGAGTGAAAACGGAGGGCTGGCATTTTCCAAGAGTGCTTTGCATCTAACAAGGGGTGGGAACCACTATATGAGAGCATCAGTCACTAACAGGTTTAAGTAAAGCAGCTTTGAACTGGTTGAGTGGGAACCTGAAGGTCGGTGGTGCACGTGCATGTCTAACTCCCACTGAACTCCACTAGTGGTGCAAGGAAGAACTGTAGGGACGGGCAAGCTACAGGAAAAAGAAAACCTGGGAAGAAGTATTGGAGTGGGTAGAAAATGAAAACAGGGTTGAGTTCACTGCCCTTCAGGGCTTTGGAGAAAATCCCAGTCGCCTCTTTGCGAAGGCAAACACAGCACTGTAGTTCAATACCTATTAGGGCTCTGATACGGATACAATGAGGCCCACTTGTCTGGGAACATAATGTACACATCCTTAGACAAACACAGAGCCACTTTAAAGTACTGCAGGACATGGACTAGCTCAAAAACAGTGTTCAGGTCAAATAAAAGAATGGAATTTAGTGCTAGCACCACCACTTATCTGAGCGATTTCCCAGAAAGGGACAGCATTGCTTCATCCCTAAACACACTGTTCCTGACCCATGTACCCAGATTTGCTCTAACACAACAAGATAGCTGATCAGCAATCTCTGCTGTGCAAAAATTTACATTTATAAACACAAATCCTGGAGCCGGGCTGAGAAGATTCAGTTGGAGGGTTTCAACCTACATTCGCTCACCTATCTTCAAGAGAAGCCATGGTACTGGGCTGCATTGTAGCTGTGCTCAATTTGTTGCCTCTCCTCCGTGCTAACCCCCTGCATTGTGATTTCCAAGTTCCACAAATCCCAGACAACACTACAGGCTCCAAGGTAAGAAAAACCCTGTGAGAGTCTTGCTTTTCCAGATACCTGCTCTACTAATGTATGCAGAGACCAGACAGGAACTACAGAGTGCAAGAAGTTCATTAAAATGTTTGACTCTTATGTACAGCAAATATAATTTACATTATAAGAAGCACTTCTCAAACCTACAATCCTAGACAGTATATTAACATACAGAATTAGGATCCCAGGACACCCAAGTTCTCCTAGTTATGCAGCAAGTTAGCTGTAACACCTTCTGTGCCTCAATTGTCTTCATCTATAAGACAGGTGAAATATTTTCTCACCTACCTTACCAAACACTAACATTACTAAACTTCAAGTACTTTCTTGCCTGACCTTTTCACTACTTTTGCACCAAAATCCTATTAAACAGCATATTAAGTCAACATACAAGTACAAAATATTAGTTGTCAGAAGAGCTTGTAGAAAAAGAGAAAATAGTCTGTATATATTTTTTTACCAATTTGTCAGTGAAAGAACTTGGCAGGAGCAGAGACCTGCTTACCCGAGGACTGGAGGAAAATCATTTATTTTTCCCCACTTTGGAAGACCAGAAATGAATCCTTGAGTCTCTCCTTACCCATCCTTTTATTTTTGCAGCTGTTGGGGAAATGGTTCTACGTAGCTGGGGCCTCACAGTTCCCCCTTCATTGGCTGGAGATGACACTGATTGATAATGGTTACCTCCAGGTGGACCCAAATGAGCAGGGGCAGGAGTTACTCATCAACCAGCACGTCTCAGCGTAAGATCATTCATTCCTCATTACCCTGTCCCACCCCACCTTAGCAGGTGATCGTTAAGCCCTAGGATTCAGCTTTCCAAACAATGCCATTTTTACATCTTGTTACCCCACTTTCTCCACAAACTTCTCAACATAAGGTTTAATTGGCATAATCTCAGTAGACAGAGGAGGGACAGGTTCTAAAGGGCTTCCCGCCCCGACGCTTGCTCATGTGTGGCTGAATGTGCTCTCATCATGCCAGAAGTCACTATCAACATCACATCTTTGCCTCGACTTTTCTAGCCTCTGTTGTGGCCTTGGCAGTGAACCTCAGATAGGTTCTGGGGCCAGGGAGAGGGGGTTAAACACCTCTTCCCCCACTCAAACTTACTGCTGGCTGCAACTGTAGACTACAAATCCCAGAAGCACGTGGAAGCAGGAAGGGTCCTACTGTGAGTCTGGACTGCAAATCCCAGAGACCTCAGGGGCAGCAGAAAGAGGAAGTGAACACACAGCCCATGCTGGCTGTGCCAAAGAGCAGTGCTGTAGCGCCCCCAGGCTTCTGGCCTGAGCCACTGCAGACATGTGGCTGCATTGCCTGAATCAAAAGTAAATGTGTGTTTAGTTGTTTCTCAGTTTAATCTCTGCTTTTTAAACTAACCTGCAAAGACTGAATTGATTCAGCCTTAGGCTTTTTTACTGTACTTAGCTCATGGGTGCAAGTAGATGCCATTCCACAACTTGTACTAATGATCAAGGTGTGATTAGATAACCTGGTGATCCCTTCTAAACTTAAAATCTATGTTCTCCAAGGGTTTTTTCAGACAAGAGCATCTTTACATACACATACCCCAGTTATACCACATGTACATTTTCTCTCTCTTTTTCTTTAGGATGGATGAATGTCTCACAAACAATTCAACTTATTTTGAAGTCACTGTTGATAATGCAATACTAATCAAGAATGGTAAGGATCCAGTGCCAAAACACGCAGAGGCATAATGAACATTTGGGAGGGAAGGGGAAGGCTAGTGTGCGTATGGGAGGGGTGGTATTATACAGATTTTTACTTCTGATAAGATTTGTTTCCCATTCCACAGTTTGTTCAGGGAGGAGTACAGAAACCACCCCATCTAAAATCTAACAGGTGGGTTGAAATGATCCCTTCCTCAGTGGGACAATTTCTTGCAGACATTTAAGGGGTTGTTGGTCCATAAAACAATCATGACAGATCACAAATCTGTCCATGGAAACACAGCTTGAGAGAAACCAACCACCATCCTGCTCACCCTCACTCAGAAAAACAGACAGTCATTTTAAATAGTTTTTCTTCTCCTTCAAAGGCAGATTTTAAAACTAGATAAAACATGTTCCGACAAGATATTTAAAAGTCTTACTCCAGAATTTGATTTCTAATCATTGGAGTGTGTCACTAAGTGTGTCACTACATTGGTGAGTGTTGCATCATTTTCTGGCACTGGCCAGGAATGAACCCATGTCATGTCAGGCCAGATGGGCTGGTGCAGAAAGTCCTCCCTTTTCATAAAACCCCAGAAAAAATAAAAGTCCTTTCCAAGCACAAGACAGAGCCGTGCAGTGAAGAAGTGAAGAGGGATCCACAACAAAGAAAAGGAGAACAATGCTTTTATTACCTTCATTGCCAGAGTCGCCGCAAGACACTGCATAGACATCTACTAAGTTAATGCTCAGCACGGTAAAGTCTATGAAGCCTAAGTATCTTTATGAATCTAGCCCAGTGATTCTCAAGCAGGGTGCCACAGCACCCTGGGGTGCCTTGAGAGCCTTTCAAGGGTGATGCAGGGTGCCACAGATTTTAGCATTGTTAGGTGTATAAACATGATTCACAAGATAAACCCAGAGATTTCAAATAGGAATCCAAAAGGCAGAATTTCAGAGCAGATCACGTAAGAGAATACAGTTAGGGATCAACATACAACCACTTGTGGATGCGTGCATCAGGGACTCATAAGCCAGCTGCAGATATTTTCCTAAAGACAAGAACTAGGTACCTTTAGTTCCTTAAAATCCCAGGCCTCTGTCTAAACAAAGCTTGATAAACTAAGGACCCACTGCAGCTTACACTGAAATCAATGGAAAGGAGTTGTACTGGGACCTACTGAAGGAGTTATAGTTATTTAGCAAGTGGTAAGACTGTTCCACATCAATCCCTACAGATTTTACAGAGCCCTTCTATATAGAAATCTGAGCTGAATTAATATCCTAACTGCCCCCAACCTCTGATTCTGTTCCCTTGAAGTCCAGAACCGACACACCATGGGGAAGCTTATGAACAGCAGTTCTGAAGACATCTTACTAATTCAATTTGAAATGCAAAAGGAGAAGAACTACACAGGATTGTATCTATACGGTAAGCAAACCCCAGAACAAAACTCCTTGAAGTTGCACTCCGATGGTGTGAAGTTTCTCACATACTACTTGCCAAATGAAATTATGGGGCAGAACTTTAGTGCTGGTAACTCTTGCAATGCCTGGTACTTTTCCAGCAGCCACATGAATATGTGAGAATGTCAGCTTTTTTTTTTTTTTTTTTTTTTTTAATTAAAGTCAATTGCTAACTATCGCGATGGCAAAGGAAATTTTGAGAATTAAGTTTTCAAAAGGTAGAAGGCACGCAATAACCTCACATCTGATGTTTTCCTAGATCTTTTATAACTTTTTCTACCCCCTTCTCAGGAATTTGAGGGCTTGACTCCTGGTCTATAGATAGTTTGGGGTTGGCAATACCGGCTGGTATAAAACCCTGTCACTAGTGAGAGTGCTGTGTTCCTCCACAAGGCATAGTTTAAAAAAAAATCTCAAGTAATCGCTTAATTTTCTAGAATGCCTTATTCTCTCTAGCCTCACTTCAGGCTGAAGTCTACCCTGTAATATCTCCATCTTCTCTCCCCACAGTGGTTCTATAGAGAACTTGCAAGCACAGTTACTGCTTGTACCCCTCAAAGCTGGTAACTTTTTTATTAATAATACTCACTCAGTGGAATATTAATAATAGGGGTAACACCGCAGCACAAGTGAAGGATATGGAGCGGAGAGCGAGAGCAATGCCTGAGCCTAATTTTGAGCCCAGATAACTGCAGCTGTTGCCCTTTGGGGTCACCTCTGCTGACAGTGTTCAGGAAAAACTCAAACCAGGGCAAAAGGCACACTGCCAAGTTGGCCCCCTCATCATCACAACCCAGATGCAACAAGCTCAGTAAAGGGGACTCCACATACCCTCACCTACATTAGGACTGAGAAGCAGGCATGCTATCCCTTGCTCCATCTACATTCTCCCTCTATGCAGCCCCAATTTTCTGTCCTTTCTTTGCTTCTATTATTACTCGGCCTTGGTGAGGCTGCAGCTGCGGTACTGCACCCACTTCTGGGCTCCACACTTTAGAAAGGACGTGGAAAAGATTGAGAGAGTCCAGAGGAGAGCCACGCGCATGATCAGAGCTCAAGAGAACAGGCCATATACGGGGAGGCTGAGAGGCATGGGACTCTTCAGCCTGGAGAAGCACAGGCTCGGGGGGGACTTGGTGGCAGCCTATAAGTACATCAGGAGTGTGCATCAGGATCTGGGGGAATGACTGTTCCTGATGACAAGGTCTAACAGTTACAAACTGCTGGAAGACCATTTTAGACTGGACACAAGGAAAAACTTTACCATCTGGGTCTCCAGAATCTGGAATAGACTCCCCCCAGAAATGGTGCAAGCACCTACTCTGGATACATTCAAGAAACACCTCGATGCTCACCTTGCTAGGATCCTTTGACTCCAGCTGACTTCGTGGCCATTAGGCAGGGGGCTGGACTCGATCTCATGAGGTCTCTTCCAGCTCTAACGTCTATGAAATCTAGTAGCTTCACCTCCTTCATCTTTTCCCTCTGTCCTGCCCCCAGCTCGCGCACCACTCAGTCTCTCCCCTGCCTCCTCAGGCAGCAGCTTGGCTTCCCTCCCACTGGACTGCCATCTTTCCTAGGACAGCCTGACTTCTACATACAAAAGCTATAAGCTCAATGTGGTGCCCTGCAGAAATGGCCTGAGAGTACCAAAAGATGACGGGCCTCCTTATAATCGCCCCGTTCCAAAGAAACAAGTCCCAAATATTGCAGGAGTTGGAAAAGCCTGTTCTGACTTGAGGGAGAAGGGAAGAAGCAAGGGTGAGTACCAAAGAAGTTGGCATCCCATTGCCCAGCCCTGCCTGGCTCCCCTCCTGCCAGGGAAGATGCAGGGGGCTGAGGCTGCCTGGAGTGAGCAGCTGACTGCAATGCAGCAGGGCCAATTATTACTGGCCCAGGTTGCTTATTAGAAGTCAGACAAAAACTTTGTTGGCCTGTCCCCTCAGAAAAGCTGGGGAGCAAGGAGATCTGGTAAGCCTCCACCTGCCTCCCTGGGAACACAATGAAACCACCTGTGCTCCCTGGAGGCACCACATCCCCTTCTCGGCAGGGCTGGCCCTACTGAAGCCAAGAGGATAGAATAACTAAGATAAAGTAGGTCTGAGACACACCGTGGTTTGAGCCTGGGATGTTCAGCACTACAGCTCTGATTTTCTACCACCGAAGCAAAGCAGAACCTCCATTAGCTTCCAGGGCTGGAAGGTGAAAGCATACTGCATAGACCAGCCATCAGAAGGGAATACCCCAAACGCCTCACAGGCATATTAGTCTCCCACGGGGTATATGCTTATATCTCATATACAGCATAGGTGGAATGACATGAATGGAGATAAAGAATTAAGTGTGTCAAGAGAGAAAGGGAATCAAGACATGAGAATAGGAACAGGAAATGAGACATCATAATTATACACCTATGTATGATCAGGAGATACACATCCAGGTCCTGCTCCGTGATTCTCAAGTACTTAAGCTTATGGTTTCTCTCTTTCTAAACAGTCCGGAATCAACCCCCAAGTAAAGTTCACTTGAATGAACTCAGGGACCATGCTGAATGTCTGGGCCTCAGTGAAGAGAAAATAGTTTATGCACCGTGGAAGAAGGTAATGTTTTCTTTGGGGATTCGTAAGAGTCATTGCCCTGTTTGCAGTGTCCTGAGACATCAGGACACCCTGCAGCTGGGAGAAAATAAAAGGCTACAAAGCATTTTACTTAAAATGAGTCAATAGCTGTACATCACCAAAGGGTATAGTCTTAGGGAAATTTTCAAAAGCAAAAGTGACTTAGGAATCTAAAGTCCCATTTTAGAGGGTGACTTGGCATTTACGTCCCAGAGTGCTTGGGGTACTTTTGAAAACAAGACTTCTGTGTTTTTAAAAGACATTGTACCCAGCAAACAAATCTCCATGTGACAAGTGCAACAACTAGCGCACTAAAAGCAATCACACAATCAAACCCTTTCTTACGGCCTGGAATAGGAATCAAATAAAGAAAAAGAAATCTAACCATATTCCCCCCCAGGCCATTAACTCTATCTTGCATTTCTATAGTATTATTCATATCAGAGTAATTTATAAGTCACACATTGTAGGAAAACATCTCTTAATATTCAAATGCAACCTTCTCTGAGGTGGAACATGCCACCAGTTGTACAATTCACAACTACCCGGATGGTTTAGGATTGGAAGTTAAGAATGACATATTTACCTGAAACTACAAGAGGTATTTCAAGTAGGAAGTACTTGAATTTAGCCATAATCAACTCATTTCACCTTGATGTCATAGAAAGTGTCAGCTGAAAGGAAGCACACATCAGCCACTTCTCCAACCCCATTCCAAAGTATTTATTTAGTTCAAAAGAAAAAGTGCTACCTACCAAAAGACCAACCGTGGTTCTTATAGAAGTGGAATTTTCCCTTAAAAGTCTCTTGTCCAAGAAGTAACCGGGCCCATGAAACTTTTGATAGGAACTCGGGCAGAGTCACACCATCTTGCATATCAGCAGCTGGTTCAAGGACTTGTGTCCAAAACTGATAATACCAGTAGGATCCTTTTCCAGAAAAACTGGTGATGGAGAAGTAAGTCTTTCCATATGTTGTCATGTGTCTCCTTCTCCTAAGTGTGATCTGCTTGGTCTCTTCACAGATGTCTGCATTAGTAAGGAGGGGAAAAAAACCATCCCCAGGTAAATCAAGCAATTCACATCTTAGAGACAGCATGGTCCCAGAGAAAAATTCAGTATTTTCATCCAAGAGAAGCAGAGGATTTCCTCCTGGGGAATTTCCCCCTGTTTAATATGAAAGTGTGGGGACACCAAAGGAGAAGTGCTAGAATTAGAACTCTGAAATGACTGCTGCCACTATCCCAAGGAGTCGGGAGAACAGACCTCCTCAGACTTGCATTTGCTCTCTTTCCACTTTGAGCAGCAAGTCCTTTCTCTAGTCAATTTGGAATCACCTGTGGGAGCAGCTACTTGTTTCTATTGAGGTAATGGCAGGTTGCTGTGAAGCTAAAGATACAATCCTGTATTTGTTAGGTTTAAATTCTGGTAAAATCAAACTCCTAGAAAAACAGAGACAGTAGGAATGGTTCAGGTCCATCTTCCTCTGAATCTTTTGACAAGTAAGCTTCCTCTGCAGCGAATGAGGCACAGATTATTGCATCCCCTTAAAAATGACATGAGAAGTAGAATGACCTTCTCTGATATTTTCAGTCATTTCAGGATTAGTAATAACAGTTCAATTCAATATATTTAAATTGCTTTGAGGCCTTCTTTAAGAGTACAGCCTTTTACCCAATTCCTTGTGCTTCTAAAAACTAAATTTCAACCTTTTTAATTCATCCTATTAAGTTTCCCCTATTTTCTTCAGAGTATCCAGACTGTGCAAGTCGCAATGCAGTGCTGCTATCAGGTGTTACAGAAGTTAAGTTCTTATTTTACATTACACTCAAAGGTCTGCTTTGAACCCAGCTTGCCTTACCCTTCCTTCCAGAAGCATTCTGTGATCAATCAGCAGCAGAAGCTGGGGAATGGGGTCCCCTCCATGCACTAAATGTTAGCAGTGGGAAAATGCAATGTATACAGTACCAGTTCCTCCCACAAGGTGTTGCTATCGGCATATTTAGAAGCCAAAGTTCTTTTACCAGCTTGATCAGTCTGTAGAAGCGATACCTAATGTGGTTGCTGGCAATAACCAGGAGGGCCTTTCCAGTCCAGTATTGAAGAAAAGCTCAATAAAAAGAAATGGTTTTCTTACTAAAGCCATACCCACACCAGTTGCATTTATTTCCTGCTAACCATTGTCTTGAAAGGAACCGTGTCCAAAGGAAGAAACCAAGCCAAGCAGCTCTGAAGACCAGGAGCACCCAGCTGCAGTCACAGCTTCATGCCAAGGATAACTCCTAGCAAGCCAAAACAACTGCTTTATCACCTCTTCAGTAAATAAAGTTTTTCTTCATTGTTTGAATGGGTATTGCTGGCAGAACGAATCCCATGGATCACAGGACCTGCTCTTCCAGAAAGAGAAGAAATGGGTTTGTAGAAATGTAACTACAGCTTGTACAAATGCATAGTTAACAGGCCACCTTTCCTAATGGGAAAGAGGAAGCAGTTTTATTTTCATTTATTTTCACTAATGAGGAAGCATGTATAGGAAGCTGAAGGTGGAGAGGCGTTGGGGGACAGATCAGTCTGGACTTCCCCTGCTTAAATGCTCTTCCCCTTAGCATCCACTTGGAGAAAGAGGTCTAAATAACTGCATACAGCCCATGGGCCTGGGCCCACAAAACCCCCTCGATGGCTGGGAGGGAAGCCAATGCATATACAACTAACTCCATGGGACAGAGGGTGATAAAACAGAAATGGGACCGCAGGTCAAAGGTTAATAATTAGGGTGCCAAGAGAAGACACCAAGTAGAGAACACCAGCTAGTACCCACTGCCCCTTGAACAAATATAAGGAAACTGTGGATCCCACCTAGTGAAAATGCCCAGAGCCATGCACTGATGAGTGAAAAAGAGGACAGCCCCAGGGTTGACTGTGTTGCCCCAGGGCCTTTGTCCTTGCCTGGTGGAGGGACAGCATGGTCAGGCCCAGGAGCAGGTTGACCATAAGACACAGGGACATGGTGGGAGTAGGCAATATTTAGAAAATAAGGTGGGGGAGTGCAGCCAGCCAGACCACTGAACTAGGTAAGAATATAAATGCTGTGTTTAGGTATCTTAAGTATCAGATAATATATCAAGACTAGCCAGCAGAGAGAACTTCTTACCATTTTATGAAATAGTAGGTCAATAAATATTTTAAGTAATAGATAATCCAAAGGCAAAGGATGTCATTTCTATATTCCTTGAAATAGCCTGAATAATATTAGTGAGATGTGGGCAAAATTGCAGCTAAATGCTTCTGCACACAAGTTTGGCCACCAGAAATAGTTCAGTTCCAAGGGAGACTCTATTAAAAACAAAAAAACCCCCACAACTGGAGACTAACATTTAAAGCAGAATGGCCTGGACAAAAGCATCTTCATGAGAAGCCCAGCAGGTCAGACAGCAATTTCCCAGAAGAGCAGTTTCCCAGAACACTCATCACTTCGCTACGGAAGTGTCTTGCGTCACTTCTCCACAGACTTGTGATACAGGGAAATACTAGTGGCCTCTTTCACAAATAGTAAAACCAAGATGCCGACAGAAGTTTTACTACAGGTCAGGAATTGACCAAATCTTTAGCCCTAGTCCAGGGATGTCACCCACTAGGCCAGTGATTCTCAACAAGGGTGTTGCAGGACCCTGGGCTGCCCTGAGCACTTTTCAGGGGTGCTGCAGGGTACCAAGCAATGTTAGTTAGTACTGTTACGTGCGCAAACATAATTCACAAGATAAACCCAGGGATTTCAAATAGGAATCCATAGTGTTAAAAGCATTCTGCCTGGCTGGGATCCGAGTTCTTCACAACAGAACTGTTCTATTATTTTTCTGTAGTCAAAAAAATCAAGTGAAAACTAGGAACTGACATTTTCCAAGGGATGCTTCAAGTCTAAAAAGTTTGATAACCACTGCTCTAAGGCTGCCCTCTCCCCATTTTTCAAAATAAAGCAGAGCATGAAGGGATGTTAGGAAACAGATGTAGATAACAAATTACTCACACATTCTAGGAGGTAGGTAACGGGGCACTGTAACTTCAATAAGGGGAAAGAAGAGTAGGTGCCACTACAAATGTCCTGTAGTGAAAATGGAAAAGGTTTTTAAGCATTTGCATGTCCCTTGTGGTCTGAGAGATGTACAGAATCATCCCCACAAATTAAAACCATGACCACAAAGCTCATCTAGCATAGCCTGGTGCTATACCCTGAAAGTCAGGCTATGGTGAGGAACCAGATGTTAAAGCCTCTTGACAGATGATGTCCTGCCAACAGGCTTAGAGGATTCCATCCAGGAAATGCCAGCTCAAGTGCCCCAGCTAACTGCAGGTGACAGCTTCTTTGCAGGAGACAATCTGTGGCAGCTAGAACTCAAACCATGAATTGTAACTGCAAGTCACTAGGTGAACAGCACACCTTGGAGGACTCATGTAATGAGGCCCACGCGATTCATATTGTTTGGCTGGTGCAAGAAGTGCTTGCTTGTATACTTGCTTCTGTTCTTTCCAGGGTAGCTGCATTAGAATATTTCAGTTTCAAAAAGCCTGTACAGAGGCAGCTATCAGTGAAAACCCCTAAAAACCCAAAATGTTGAAATTAGGAGCGTGCAATTAGCTTTAATGAAAGGAATTTCAGATCTTCTAAAAGTTAAAATTCTCAACAAAAGAATCCAGCTATTGAGCAAAACAGATGAGGACCAGAATTCTCCAATGCTTCTTGGAAGAGGGGCTGGCAACAGGACTTCCATCGCCAAAGTTTACCATTTAATCTTCGATAGAGTCAAGCTTTTCCTTGAGTTCAAATTCAAATGGAATTCTGCTCTTTGAGAGTTTTACAGGCAGAGCTCCCAATTATCCTCAGTGAAAAGGGTTTTAAGACCAGTGGCCTCATGTCCTCACACAGAACCAAAACACACTCAGTGGTATCTCTTTGAAAGACCTTTATTAGCAGACTGTGTCCTACACAGAGAATCTCATTAGTAGATTTCCATTTGAACAATTTCTGGTTACAGCTACAAAGACAGTTGTCATTTTGCATTGATTTTTGCATTCTGAATATTCCCATTAAGTCACACTGGTAGAAGGGGTCACTGCTGATTTTTACAGCTGGTCTCAAAGGGGATGTAAAATGAAAGAAATCATATCGCTAATCCAGGTACAAAATTAGATTTTTCAAGTGTTTATTACTGACAGCACTGGATAATTTAGGCAGAGTACCTAACAACACAAGGCCCTCCACATTGCCAAAGCCCATCAAGTAGAGAGCAACTGCTGGGAGTGCTAAGAAAGCCCTTCCCATCTTTTCACACACAAACTTCCCCAGTGCATGCTTGTATGCAAGGAGCACTGGGACTCTGCAGTGCATCAACCAGCCCAGTTTCACAGAGCTATAACAGTGTGGGTCCAAGTGTAAAGTTCCTTCCATGTTTTGGGGAACTGGCAGCTTCTCTTTTTAAATCCCTGAGATTTTTTCCCTCCCGATACAATTCTCACCACCCCTCTCTCCTTTAGCCAATGTAACACTCAACATACACAGACCTTCCATTCCTAAACTCAAACCATTCATGTAAAGTCCTTCCAGACACATACAAGTGAGACGATTCCAAAATAAGGTGAGCCTCAAAAGTATACTCCTCCCAATCCCCATCCCAATCGACTGTTTTGTAGCTCAGTCCCATTCCATCCTATGGCTTCTTGCTACAGGAATTTCTCTGGACTGACTGAGGTCTGCCATCCACAGCCACAGATGTAAGAAAGGCAGCTAAAGCCTTGAAGGGAGAGAGCACTATTGACAGCTCAGTCTCTTCCCTTGTTGCTCCACTGCATGATGCCAAAAGAACATAAATAAAGAACCTTTTCTTAAAAAACAGGAGAAATACAAGCACATGGTAACAATATTTAAACAAGTCTATAAAAATAGTTTGACATAACTCTGTTCAAATAAATACAAAATAAATATGCTTTAAGCAGTGAAACAGTGGAATGTGATGCTGGTCCATTTTGCCTCAAATGAAAATTTGCCTGAGGATCTTTCAGGCCCCAGGAGCCTAATCCTAAAGTGGCGCATAACATACAGTCAGAGAAATTTTAAAGCCATCTCTTTCCCTTCCCCCTATGAAAAGCACCCTCTGGAAGAAAAGCAAGCAGTCATCTTCAACCCTGTGATGAAGATTACTTTCCTCTCAACGTCAGCTAATTCTTCTCCCTAACACCCCTGCCCACGGCAAACCTTCTAGCCAAGAGGCTCCAGCCCTCAAATGTAAAATCCCATTCTACAAAGAGATCTAAAGAGAGAGACAGATAGCAGCTTTGGCCCACGGTTTGGGGGAAGACTGCATCCAGCTTCAGCAACAGGCTGAAAAGTGTCAGGGCTCCATGCAATGCTGAACAGGCAGCATAGAGGCTCCTCCCACTGAGCTGGGGGCACACCGGTACACATGGACACGAGCAGTAGAATAGTGTCAGTTATTCAGTAAAGCCATGCATCAAGGTGCCAGTCCATTTAGGGCTCTCTGACTTCCCCCCTTTCAAAATCCTGCTGGGTACAAGACAAGCCAATCTGGCATGCAAACAATGCAGGCATGCAGGCTCTAGTCTGCTGCTTCTGTTAGTAAGTGCATTTTGTTAGCGGTTTATGAGACACACTCAATAAGACCTATAAAAATAAATAAACCTAGTTCTTCACTAGGCTGGCATAAGTAGCCTTCAGCCAGATCAAAGCCACCACTGCCCACCAGTCCCCTAAACCAATATAGTTTAAAGTTATGTTTCATGTCATCAAGTCTTGGAAGCAGAACATGGATGCCTCCTACCCCAAGGAAGATGTGTAAACATAATAAATAAGCCCGGTGAGGCAGCAACTCCTACACAAAGTCTTTACAAATTTAAACAATGGGTAGGAGGTTAACAACTGAACAGAAACAGAAGCCCTTTCAGAGACTCGGAAGTTGCTACATTCTCCAGGCTAGCAGCTCTGTTTCTATGTGTAAGATGCTGAAAGCAGACCTGTTCCCAAATCCCTGCACCACCATCCTCCTAGGAACCGGTTTCAATGCAGTTTGAGACACACCTGGGAGTTGATCCCCCCAGTTTCCCAATTGGTCCCTTGGACATCTGAAGGACCACCTGATGGGTTTATGCAGTGCCCTAAGTAGCAAGATGACAAAGAACACCAGATTCTTGCCACCACTGACACGCATGATCTGGGATTTCACAGCTTTGCTTAGTCAGCTTAGTGTTGACACATTCGCAGAATGAGATGGCTATACACCTTGGGATCATATCCCAAGATTTCCAATTTTAAAGTCCTTGTCACCGAGACTGCACCCCCAAGGTCATCTTCAGGTTTTCATAAACCACATAGCTGATGCTTACAGCTGGAATCACCTTCATGAAGTTTGGAGCCAGACCACGGTACAGGCCAAAAGCACCCTCTGTCTTCAGAATGTGTGAGAACAGTCCCCTCATTGTCACCTGTGGCGCTCCCTCAACTGAAGCTGCAACAGAAGAAGCCACACAAAGTATGAGACTGCAAGTTGTGATGGGCACTTTCTTAAAACCTCTATCAAAAGGCAGGTGTTCAGTAGGGCTGTGCGAAGCTTCAGTCCCCAATTCGATTCGCTGGGGATTCGGCTCGATTCAGCGGCCAAATCTCTGAATCCGAATTGAATCAGGAGACCCTTTATCTCTCCGAATCAAAGTGGAACCCTCCAAATTGATTTGGAGAGATTCAGAGATTTGGATATAGATGCAGCTTTAAACGTCTTTTCTACACATCTCTAGGTAGCAGGGTCTCATTATCACTGTGATGCTGGGGTGCATACAGCGTCCCACAGGAGCACAGGGGGCCCCAGGCGCGCTTGATAACAGATACAAAATTGAACCAGAAGTACTTCCAGTCCACTTCTGGGTCCACTGGAGAGCACACTGGGGCCCCCACCATGTTTCCCCAGCTCAGCAACTGATGCCTCCTGGCTCTGAGGGGGGCACCCGAGGTCCCCCTGCAGCCGACTGACAAGCCGGGGAGGTGCAGAGGGGGCCTCAGCGTGCTCCCTGGCAGATCCGAAAGTACACCAGAAGTACTTTCAGTCCACTTCTGACTTCACCACCAAGCACATGGAGGTCCCCCCCTGCACTCCTGTGGGATGCTCCATGCACCTTAGCATCACAGCATTTATGAGCTGCACCAGTACCTCGAGGTATGTAGAAAAAACGTTTAAAGCTGTGTCTGTGTCCAAATTGCTGATCCTCTGAATCAGCATCAAATCTTCAGATTCGGATTTGGCCAAATCGAATCAGGGACAGTGATCCAAATGAACTAAATCGAATCACTGTCCCCAGTTTGGGCCAAATCAAATAGGGCCCGCTTTGCGCACCCCCACTGCTCAGTTTACTTAGAGCCAGGGACCCTGGTTTTCTCCGATTTAAAAAAATAAATAAACAAAAAATCCCCACTTTCTGGTTTTAAAAAAGTAACTCAAAAATCACATTTTTCTGTGATTAAACTAAAACACCACTAAACTATGGAAAAAAGTGGATTTTGGATTAGTTTTTCTTTTACCGAAAAGTGGTTTGTTTTTTTTTAAAAGCAGAGAAAACCAGGATCCCTGCATAGCATACAGCATTTGCATTCATACAAGCTGGAGATTCCTGTGTTCTGCTGATAGTACTGACAGTGCATAACCTCCGATTAGGCAGCAAAATACAGCCCTGCCATCTCTCAGAGAGCTCATAGACTGACCAAAGACAAAAGGCTGAAAAGTTAGTGAAACAAACTTTGTCATATGGCAACAGATAGCACAAAGCCTATGCTCCCCTTCATCCCTGGCAAACAGGCAGCCTAGAATCTCACAGGTAAGAATGCTGCATGGCTGCAGGCTCCACTAGAGCACCTGTTATTCACACAGCTCAGCATGAATTCATACTGCATAACCCCCATGCTACAGTATCCCCAGCATTTCCAAAACTGCTTTTACCTTGAGCTTGCATGCGTGTCCTCACAAGAGCCAGAGGATAACTGGCCAGCTGCCCACAGGTGCTAGACATGGTGCCACAGGCCAAAAGAACAAAGACTCCTGGGTCAGCACTGTTCACAGCATAGCGTTGCAACCAAGCATTCTTCAGCGTCTAAAAGAAACAAGCCAGAGATTAGCAAAGGACAGACTGCTGGGCAGCAAGAATGGGCCAGGTGATGAAGGATCCTGGGCTAAGATTCAGAATGATCTATGCAATATCAGCCAGAAAAGACTGGAAGGACATGATCCTAGCTTCTCAGATTTTCTTGATCTGCTGCTACTAAAATGCCTAGGAGAGATGGTGCTTAACACCTTTGGTGCTGATATCCTCATCAAAAGGCAAGCACGCAAGGTTGACACTGGTGCTAGACTGGGATTTTTCAGGCTACGTGAAGAACTTAACATGGATGATCCCATGCATACTGGCATTTTTCCCCTCCCCCAGAAACTATTTAAGCCCCATACCTCATAGACTGCCAGGTCGATACCAGCATATGGAATGATTCCTAGCATGTTCGGGATGTAGCCTTTGTAGAAAGCAGCCATTCCTTCCTTTGAGAGGATGTTCTTGGCACAGTCCAGCATGCCTGAATATTGCCCTGTTTTGCGCAGGGCCATTCGTGTCTTCAGAACCTAGAAGCCCAAGAGAACACGAAGACCTTTAGCATAAGGAAGAAAACAGCCAATACCTTTATTATGAGTAAAGCTATATGGCAGAAGGACAAATGCCTCCAATCCCTGTATCACTACAGTCCCATTATTTGGCAAGGTCTTTTGGGAGCCCATTCAGAAAGGTGCCTGTAATAGCCAACACAGTAAACCGCAAAGCAAGCATGATGCTTGTTTCCACATTTTAATCTCTCCACACAATCACTTTGCAAGCCACAGGATGTTGGCCAGACACCTCACCTCCATCGGGTAGATGCTGCTCTGTGCAATTGCCCCTGCCAGAGACCCAGCCAGTAGTCGCTCATGAATTCTCAGTATTTCCTGGTCACTGCCAATGAACCGCTTGATCTGTAGAGACAAAGACAGAAAAGTGACTTTAGCTGGTAGCTTCCCATAGTAGTGTCAAATTGACCCACAGGGCTACATTCCCCTTCTCCGCTCTTTAGCTTGGCCTAAAAAATACCTCCCCGTTTTCATGCCTCATTTCCCCATTCAGCTTCTGTCAGACCTGAACATTCCCTTCACTTTCAACCATAGACTAATATAACTTTACTCTGACTTCATGCCATCCAGTTTTTCCAACTCTGCCTTGGGATAGAAGACTTCTTCCCCACCAACAGAGAATAGAGTTTTCCAAGCATCAACACAGTGCTCATGGTGGCACCATACATGTATCCCAGCTGACAGATTGCTGTCTATTCCGTGTACAGCCAATCCAAAATGAAAAAAAGGCTCCTCTGACATCTCTGTATCCAAACTCCTGTACGCTTTTAATCTCACCTGTTCATAGGCCATGAATTTGATAGCAGACTCTGGTGCAATCTTCAATACATTGATGCCATTCCCACGCCATAATGACCTGGGTCCACCCTCTCGGATCATCTGGGTAAAGCCACCAACGATGCACATGTTGTTGCTGCGGGAAGCATGGACCTGGAAGAGAGAAAGCTTGGATCAGTTCCAGCCCTGCTTACGACAGCTCTACATGCCTGCGTAATCCTAGGACACAGGGCATTTCTTATATGGCCCGAGATTTACTAAGGCTTTAATCCTGCCTACATATTTACAAAAGGTAAGCAAAGCTTCTTTTAAAGCCTGACATCAATTAACTAATTAATCCACCTGAGCCTCCCCTTTCCTGCCCCCACCCCATCCCCCAAAAGAAACAGGGAAAGCAAGAGAAACATCACTCGTGCACCCATCACAGACCCTGACACCAGGAAGGGAGAAGAGGGCTCTCAGTGAGTCAATGCTGAGTCTTGCTAAGCAAAGTCCAAAATCCTCCTTTCACAACTCTGTTAACACTGATTGCACTTATCGCTATGAACCTAGAAGCAGTGGCCCTGCCAACTGGGAGCCTTGGGAGACCGACTGTTAACCCAGTTTCATGGAAGTCAGAGTTTCCCAATGCTGTCAAGCACAAGGTTCAGCAGCTGTTGACCTTCATCTGCTCAGGTCCAAAAGGCACTTGATTAATTAGTCAAGAGTGGCTTTTCTATGGCTAGATATTTGGTACAAACCAAAAAGCTTCTATGTTCCAATAAGGAAATACTGAAACTGAGCCCCACCAGAATGAGTCACTGTTTGGAGGAACTTGAAAGGGCTCTTAGGTTCCATTTCACTGGGAAAAGGCCCTACAGAATCAGCCCATACACCGTCAGACTCAAGCTGCCCTCTGCTTTTGTCCTACCTGCATGAGCACTTTCAGCCGGTCCAGGGGAGCTGTGCAGGTTCTGGACACAGCACCCGCACCTCCGCCTGCAACCAGATGTCTCCACCACATCCCTGTCTGCCTCTCTTCCACTGTGAACTCATCTGGGACTGTCAGATTCTCTCCCACATCAAAGATCTGCAAGGGAACATGGTGTTGAGAATGCCCAATGAATCTGCTATTTCAGAAGGCTACCATATTCAGTATCAATACCATTCCAGCAAAGTCAACGTAAGCTTGCTATTTTAATCCCCATCTTGCCCACAAATGTTAAAGTGTTATGACTGGTCAATGAAAAACAAGAACTGCCATTGCTAGAAGACACCCAAAACACCCAAGGAAACCTTTCACATAAGCCCTATTCAGCTACCTGGAGGCTTGCCAATGCCCTCGGCTGTACCAATGCAAAGTGCATCGCTTTAATGATCAAACTTACTAGCCGGGAGCAGTCAGGTGCTGAAAGAGATCTGGTCCTCTCTAGAGCTTACAGCCAGCTTGATCTCGTTACATATTTATATGAAGTACTGAATAAATATATCGAGAAAAAAAATGGTGCCTGTCATATCAGTTTCTAGTCTTGGCAAGTTCTGAACTAGCAGAAGCTGGTCACTAGTATTAGCTCCCAGAGCTGTGATCCAAGTAAACCTGTTCATCCACTCTCCCCTCTCTCGGAATGTACAGTTGTCAGCTGCGCCAGAGACTTCAGAAACCATGCCAGCGATATATAAAAGATAACCAGCCAGGTTCTGGGGCTAGAAGGCAGCTACTGAACCAAAAAAAAAACGACGGAGAGTGCTGATAGAAGCTGTGGAGAAGTGGGACCCTTACTGAGAAGCTGGGAAAGGGATCAGGTCTGCTGTGCTAAAGGAATTTTTATGGCTCTTACCGTGGAGTGCTTCCAGTACAGGATGATCTCAGGAATATTCTCTACTGGGTGCAACAGGTGATAGTCGCGCCACTCATTCCAATCAATTGTCATAGTCCCATTTTTATCCATGCTGCAAATATTAATGACAAACAAAACAGAAAATGAGCATCAGGCACCACAGGTAATATTATTTGTCCCCTCCCAGCTCAGAGCAATTACTAGAAATAGCTCCAAGGTTTGGAGTATAAGGCACAGCTAAGGGAATCTTTCAAGCCACACCATGCAGGGGGTAGGGAAACTATCTTCCTTCTTCTCTCCCCACTAGCCACAAAGGATTCAAGCCCCCTCATATGAAGATATGAACAAACTCAGCACTATAGGGAAGGTAAGTAATTGGCAGAGACTGAAGTTCCACAGATACTTACTAGGTGACAGGACCCCAGAAATGGCCCATCCTTATTCTGACAGACAGAGGAAAGGATGCAAAGGAAAGAAATAGGAAAAACAGTGCAGATAAGTGGTTGTTAATGTGTTAGTGCCACATGCATACAGTGTTAACCATTTCAGTAAACAGTCCTTCTGAACAGCAGCAAGTTGTGGACAATGGGGCAGTAAGGGATGCTGACAGGCTCACATGCATGCTCCTCCCCACAAAAAAAGCTAGCAAGGCAGTCAGACTCTGGCTGCCAAGCTCAGTGATTCTGATGCAAGGAACTACTGTCCAGTAGTTTAGAATACTACTATGCACAGATCAAATTCACGTCTTCTCAATGCATCAAGTGGTCACCATGCTAGAGACAGAATTCCATCTTCACAGCCCAGCAATCTGATCCAGCATCAGATCATTGCTCTACTGCATTCTACCAGACCAGTGAATTGACCCTGCAGTTTCAGATAAGAGTGCATACAAGGAAGTGGGTGGCTGCTCTTATCCCTTCACAATGCAATATGGCATCATAATTTTCAATACACAGAAATGTCAAAGAGCAACAAGAGATTGTAGGTAGGAGGGGAAGCTGCAGTTGGTAAGGAGTGTACGTAAGGAGAAAAGTAGAGATAAGGCTACTCTTTACACCACCCTCTTAGAGTTTACGTGCCAACTGAAACGTGCATGCCAGCTAAATACTCACCTCTTGAGGATTTTCTCAGCCTGCTGTTCAGAGATCTTGACTCCCAGGTCACGAAGGGACTGCATGATTTCTTGGGCATCAATACGGCCTGCAAGAAAGAAGGCAGTGAACTCATAGCATACATTTTGCAAATTTGGCCTGCAGTAGCCAGTGATCTGTGCCTATTACACAATGAGTCTCACCATCATTCTTCTTATCCAAGCTCTTGAAGACCAGCCTCAGTTTTTTCTCATGATCTTGGAGATAGTGAACAAACTCCTCAAAGTCCAGCTGCCCATCCAGGTCCTTGTCTCCAGCTTTTACAATTTTCTGTTGGGAAGATATAAAAATAAACAAAATCTCAGTTCCTTTCCCCATTCAGGTGTATTTACACTTTCTTCCATATCATTAAGCATAACAGTCAAAGCCAAGTTTCATACCAAGTTACCGAGTGAAACTACCACTGAGAAATAACCAGTCCCAAACAGCAAAAGCCTTTGGTCACACTGAAGTCCAGCTCCAGGGGACAATGCCAAAGGTAATGCTGGCACTGCAGCTGCCTTTAGGCAGTACATACCTGCAGGATGGCTTAACTATGTAGACTGGAACTATGTAAGCTCCCTAGAGATGTAAATTAAGCAGGACACCACTTTTGTAGGATGGACAGCTTAAAACAAGTGGAGAAAGACAGGAAACCTGAAATTAACTCCCTCTAGCATGTGGCAGTACCACACCTGATCTGTATTCAGGCACACAACTAACTACCTGTTAATATGCAGGCAAGCACTGGCCTGCAATCATCTGACTCAGTCAGCTCCTACTCTGTTCCATGCTTATCAACTGCCTTAGACTAGATGAAATTCCTCTGTAGAAACTAGTGACCTATCCTCAGCAACAAGTGACTCAATCTAGTCATATTACCTCTTTCATCTGCTTTTCAAATCACTATGCAAATACTGCATGGCTTTTGTGATGGCTCTGTTTTGGACCCCCAGGCCCCTGCCCTTATCCAGATCTAAAACTCACTCTAATGTGTTTGCTTCAGAATGGCATTATTTCAAAGGCAATATGTAAAGCCAACTTCACTTCAATTTTTTCAGCCTGTGGTCAGTTTTGGCCCCAGTGCACCTCAGAAACATTCTTATCAGGCTTGTGAGCTTTAAAAAGGAAGGTGCTGTCCCCAACTGCAGTGACCTTTGAGACATGCCCAAAATGTCTCTGGTCTGCAGACCATCATATGACTGTTGTAGAGGACACAGATAGGGCCCCATTTTCAATCTGTAGGCTATAGATAGACCAACACCTCTGGCATGTCAGCAGATCAGTGTCAAATAGCTGATTCAGGGCTTCCCTCTAGCCAATAACTCTCTGAGCAATTCCTGGCCATAAATCATAGCCATTGTAAAATGCTTATGTTCCCTTCCTCCCATGATATCTCCATAAAGAGTGTGTCAAAGGGGAGTCCAATGCAGAGGGAAAGGGGGGGATTACAACAGCCTTGATAATATGACACCATCTTTTAGGTGCAGGCCTGGCCAATTAACTATCCCAAAATTCATTAGGTTACTACTAACACAAACTGCTTCTAGAGTTACAGGTCTAAGCTCATATCAAAGGCCTGGATTCTTTCCAGCTTATGCAAGGATGCATACATCACCTTCCATTGTCTTCAACAGGGACACAGATGAACATATACATCTGGCTTCTTGCCTTCAAAAGCAAATAGGAACCATTGCAGACATTTCACAGTGTGGTCTACAGGCAGGTCCAGCCTGACATCTATGCTTGCTTGGTGGCATGCATTTTTTCATGACTACTTGTATAGGGTACCCAGGCAGGGTACCCAATTCCTCATACCCAAGTCTGCTATGTACACATCTTTCTTAGATCCAGCCATTTGCCAGGCTTGCCAATTAAAAAAAAAAAATCAGGTGCCAGCATCCTTGATAGCATGGCCATTAGCCATGTAATTAGTGCCAGCAACTGCACGTTGAACATGAGGGGATGGAGTACAAAGAAGAAAAAAAGAGGGGAACAACATTACATTTCTAATATGTTTATTCTTTCAGCCTGTACTTTACATGGCAATGCAATGGCCTAGTCTACAGTACAACCATTTCAGTGCATGGTTTAAGGATGATTGCTAAAACAGTGCTGAGTTTGTCACCATCTTCATTTGCTGACAGTGTGCCTCTGGTTCAGCAACACTCATCTCTCAGGAGGAGTTCAGTCTGAGAGCTGTTTGCATGGCACAAGAAGAGATGGAGGGAAAGTAGCATGAAAAGGAAGGAAGGCAGGAAAGATTTTCTAAGAGCAGAGAAGACAAACTTTAGACCAACTCTCAAGAGTGCACCACAATACTGTGCAGTCAATCAGTCGGTTTCTGACTTCCTAGTTCAGCAGGATGATATATACAGGAAGTTAGAGCTCTGGGGGAAGGGCATTTAGCTCATGCTCCTCATGTTCGCATACCCCAGTTAAGGAGGAAGACAGACAAATGTCCCATGCTGGTATCAACTGCATATAGCAAGGGACAGGAGAAGAGAACAAAGTATAGGCCTTCTGGCTTTGATTATTTATTAGTAGCAAGGGCCAACATGAATTTGCTCCCATTAGTCAGTCAGTTCAATTAATTGCTTTCCACCCCTCAGTTCAATTCATTTCAATGCATGTCAGTCATACATTGCTTTCCACCCCTCTCCTCCCAACACCTTCACCATCCTTGCCACCATACCCCCTTCAAGCCATACCTGTTTCCACTGGCGGTAGGTAGAGAATTCCTGGGAAGGGATGAAGAGGCTGAGTCGGAAAATAGATTTGAGCTGAGCAGGCAGCCCCTTCGATTCAAAGTATTCAAACTCTGTCTTGCATTCCCCAAACACTGGCACATACAAACAGAGGCAGAGCATATTTCTGAGCCAGTGACTCAGGTGCCCTCCTATACAGCCACGCGAGGAAGGAAGCAAGTGGAATGACGTGCAGCTAGTTTCAGTGAGAAGTGCAGAGGAAATGCCGGTAAGTCTCATGACACATGCCTATGAGCTGTCTATGCTCTCCTGCCATTGGCCACACAGGCCCTGCCCTCCTACTTACAAGGGAAGGGCTCACTGTGCAGTCCCCTCCCTGCCTGCCAACTAGACACTGGATCCCTGACAAGAACACGAGCTGCCGATTGCTTAACACAAAGCTTTTGGAAAGACCAGGCAGTTTCACGTCATGCTCACTGCAGAGTTAACTCTTCCCAAGCTTCTCACTTAATCCCAGATCAATCCTCACCCAAATTTGTCTTTGACCCCAGACAGGACAATCCCATGCAGAACTTGGGCTGCCAGAGCCACCAAGGGACTTTTTCCTAAGAGGGAAGACAGGAGCAAAAGCAGGAGAACCTAAGAGACCTTTCATCATCCCCATAACAATGTTCGGCTGCCATTTCTGGCCTCAAATTCAAGTGAGTCTCTTTGGAACAGAAGTCATACCTTTCCAGGTGCTTCTACCGAGCACAACACAATATCACCTGATCCTCAGTATCCGTTGTCTTTATCGCTTAGTTTTCTGTTTTATAAAATGTATAGAAAGCACCACACTCCATGTATCCACTGCTTCCAACACCCCTCTCAATAGTCTGCTCTGCTGAGAACCCAGAAGGGTCCATGTGTGGAGGAAGCTGCTGTGTAGCAAAAGGATCATTAGAATCACTTACAAATAGCCAGAGAAACTGTGAAGGAGTTTGGGTGATGCCAGCTCTGTTTGGAGGCATGTTAATACCTGGTAGCAATGAGATGTTTGGAAAGACTGTCGGCTACTGCAACAGACTTCTAAGATGCCATTAAATCAAAAACCAGATTGACTGCATGTGCTTCAAATCCATTCTTCATCTCTGTGTTGGGAAATTCAGTACAGCAGAGATGACAACTCATTCTCATACCAAGCAATTTAATTATAGTTGAGAGGAGAGGAAAAGTATTGTGTGTGTAATTAATGACACTGAAAAGGATAGGGCAGCACCTGCCTGCATATCCATCCCGTTTCCCTTATCCAATTTACTATTAAACCAACTGGTAAGCAAGCACCTGTGCAAGGAGGGCTTGTCAGACTGGGGAAGGCTGTGGTTTGAGGAGTCTGGCATCCTTTACAACAGATACCCTGACTGCAGGCTCCGGGAAGGCTGATGTTGATAACTGGGTCCTGAGTACTGTCTGGTAGGGCTGTGCGAAGTTTCGATCCCTAATTCGATTTGGCAGAGATTCAGACCGATTTGGTGGCCAAATCTCCAAATCCAAATCGAATCAGGAGACCCTTTAATCTCTCTGAATCGATTCAGAACCCTCCAAATTGATTTGGCAATTCAGACAGACAGCTTTAAATGTTTTTTCTACACACCTCTAGGTAACAGGCGGCTCATGAATGCTGCGATGCTGAGTCACATGAAGTGTCCCACAGAAGCATGGGGGGCTTCCTAGTGCACTTGGCAGCACTTCCAAGTCCACCAGGGAGTGTGCTGGGGCCCCACCTGTGCCTCCCTCCCCCCCGTACTTCCGGTCGACTTCCAGGTTCACTGCCAAGCATGCAGGGACACCCCCACCCCCACCCCCCCGTACTCCTGTGGGATGCTCCATCCACCCCAGCATCTCAGCATTCACAAGCCACACCTGGTACCTCGAGGTATGTAGAAAAAACATTTAAAGCTGTGTCTGTGTCCAAATCACTGATTCTCCAAATCAGCATCAAATCTTCAGATTCGGCCAAATCTAATCGGGGACGGTGACCCAAATCAACTAATCAAATCACTATCCCCAATTCGGGCCAAATCCAAATCCAAATCAAACAGGGCCCATGTCACACGCCCCTGCTGTCTGGTACTGAAGTACAAAGAGAAAAGTAGTAGTGCATACCAGATCTGTTACTGCTTCACACTATTCTCCAGATGATCAGCATGGAATTTAAATTGGAAGTTAAAGACCCAAGGGGATCGCTAGTCTCTGTTCCCAAGATTGGCCACAGGAAGGCTATCAAGTGAAACGGATACATGAATCATTCAAATTCCAGCTTCCCAAAGCACTACTGTTTTGCATGCAGTGGAAGACTCTTTGCTAAACTGGTTTAAACCACCTCAATAGATATTTTCCATCGCCACTGGGGACCAAGCAACATTTTCTGAATTGTTCTGCTCTGTCCATTCTGGCACAAGGTTTGTTTGACCAGCAACAATTTAACACGGGTCAGTAAACGAATTATTTTCTACCATTCAGGAATACAAGAGGTCTTAAAATTATTCCAGATTATTGCGGTTCTTTGGGGTGAAATTCTGAAGCGTTGTTACAAGCTGCTCATGGAACAGTAGTTGAGTTGCGCACACTGCAATATTTAATCTGAGGCTTTAAATTTTAGGATTTTACAAAAGCAAGTCACATTCCATTAAGCAAAACTTGGTCCCCTCTCCAGTTCCAAGTACGTGACTACACTACTGCTTTCCTAACCCCTCTCCCTGCCATCTCACCCATTGTGCCCCTTTATTTCAGTTACCTAACTGGACTTAACCTTCTCCTCTCTGACGTCCATCTCAATAAAAAACAGGATCTTCTCACTGAATCCTGATCCTCTTAGAGATCAGCTGCAGCAGCTTGGGCTACTTCCAAGCCAACAGTGTACCCCACCTTCCCCACGAGACCAAGCCTCACTAAAACCAATGCTGGAAAACATCCTGCATAAGCTGAAGGCAAATCTCTCTTACAGACCAACTGAAACAAGTGGTTTTCCCCCAGCAGGTGTAGGAGCAGATGCTACTCAAGACATACCCCACTACCCCGTCCATGACAGCCTCCCTCCCCACTTCCACAGGTTCCCAGATGCCATTTTTTGCTACAACTGCCTGACAGCACAGTTGCTATGACAGCAGGATGCAGATTTTTTCTCGTGAACTCCACCTACGCATGGCACCTTGAGACAATGGGAATACTGAGCATTTCCAGAAAGAAAGTCCCACGCCCCTACGTCACAGAAAAAAAGAGACGAAAGACATTTTTGAAGAGGGTATTAGCTGCACGGCAATGAGCTAAGAAAAGCAGCCAGAGCACAGCTGACTTCACAGCTGCACATGCTATTAGAGATAAGCATGTGTCAAGATTTCGTTTCAAGGGACCTTTGAAATCTTGGCATAGGTAAGCAAATTGCTTTCTACAGCATCTGAGACCTGCATTACTTGGGTAACAATCGATTTCTACACACTTCACACAATTATAACAACGGCCTTTTTGAAGCTGCAGCATGACTGCCTGACTCAGTCTGCATCCTCCGGCAGTGTGCAAGGCCAAGTTGCACAGTCATACAGATGAGATGACACACCCAGATGCAGAGGGCCCTAGAAGTGAAAAGCTGCACCAGATGCCTACCTCACCATCAGACTGTCAAATGCCAGGCAGAAGCTAGACACTGACAGTTACCCATTCCTGTGATCTTTTGTTACTAATCCCCTCAGTTACTCCTCCTAAGAGTCACTGGACAGATTCATAGTTACATTAGTCTCTTTTGATGAACTTCCTGCAACTTCTACCAAGAAAATTACAAGTTTACTCTTAAGGGCATTCAAAAAATGTAGCAGGTACCTTGAGCACTGCAAGAATTTGTTCCATTCTTGGCTGCGCCACCTAGCCATATGCAAGTTAGCTACTGCTGTGCACAGCCTGCCTACAAGGACTGTTTTTGGAAGCCCAACCCAAGACCATAAGACCCATCTCTGCCAGTTGCACAAATGTCTTATCCCAGCAGTTCTCAAAGCCTCTCCCCCTCTTCAGGGTATCCTAGGCTAAAATGAATGCACCTGCTTTAATGCCATCCATGTTATGGTTTCATTTTTTCCCCCCTTTCTCTTGGTGGAGACTTGGCAGCAAGAAGCAAACCTCCTTGTGCCTGCTTTAACCTTAATCCTTCCAGGTCTCTTTGGTTCTAGTTTCCTGAGCATCTGCTTCCTCTCCAGTTTTACCACCATCCCTTCATCAGATCATAGTTGAAGTTGCAGCAAAAACACATCCGCCCAAGAAAATGAAGCAGCTCACAAGGTAGTTGTACAGATTTGCATCTAGTTTGTTACAGGCTCTGAAAAAAAAGTGATGGACTGGGAAACTGTGACCAGCTGGAAAACGAACATACTACTTCACTGTGACAGAAACCACTTGGTGGGTTATTACTTGTGCATGAAGGTATCTGAGAACTACTATGGGCTCAGAGTAAGGCACTGCCTATTCATCTGTGGGGGGGTTTTCATTCCTGGAAACTGGCTTATAACTGATTGTACAATCCTAACAGGTCCTGAATGGAGAGTGAACAGAGATCCAAAGCAGGAGATAGAGTTAATCATTTGTTAGCAACAAGCTGAGCTGACCCAAAGCACAGTTACTAGCCATGGAAATGGGGAAAGGGCCACACCAGAAGATAGTGCCACACCAGAAGGCACACCAGAAGGGCCACACCAGAAGATCTCACCTGAAGGTAGTGCCAGGAAAGCTGACCTCTCCCACAGACAACACACACGGATCAGAATGACACGTCCTGGCAGTGGTGTCACTATCAGATATTTTCTGTGCACACATGATAAGCATGCCAGCACATCACATGTGCACCAAGACTTTTCACATGTGCAGTTGTAAGCCAACCCAACACGCAAGCAAAGCCAGGCCAACTGCAAACCGAGGTCTGTAGAGTCTCAGCTCTGGAACCCGATTCATCAGCTCTGTCTGGACAACTGAAGCCATCACAGCAACTGGGTCACAGTTGTTAATCTTCACATATGTATAGCAATTGAGTACTGTAGTTGGAGGAGTTGAGACTCACCCAAGGTCATAGCCATTCAGCGACAGAAGCAGGAACAACACGCCCCTCTTCTCCCATACTCTGAAAATTGACAACAGTGATCTCCTCTATGACAGCAAAGGAAAAGTAGAATTCCCATCTGGATGCTGAGTTGGACTCCTTCGCTACCCCTCGCTCCTGCAGATTTTGAGGTATAGTCAATTCTTTCTGCACTAACCGATTTTAGCATCCTATGCAGGGAACGGACTCTGTGTTATGGATATCATACAGGAAAGCAATAGGACAGATATCACCTTCATCACCACACTAGGAATGACACCCAGCTGGAGAACAGACTGATTTTTCCTCAGTGGTTGTCACCCTCCTCCTCCAAGAAGTTACACTTAAGATCTTTAATCCCAGGCTCCTCTCATTATTTCCTTCACCTCCTCTTTAAGCTTCTCTTCACCATCATTTCCATACTCAACCCCTCTTCCGCTCTCAGTGGGCATATACAGCTCTCCTCACAAAGGGCATGGAGTACCCATCACAGGCCAGCCAGCAGAGAAGCAGAGTCCCTGCCATGTTCTTAGACTCCGACAGGGAATATAACATCCTCTTCTATCACCTTGCTCATTTCCATCCAAAGCCAGAAGCTGCAAGGATTTTAATTTGCATGCACCACATGGGACGAGCAGACTAGAGCTGTCTGATAAAGCAGCTTATAGCTTTTATACCTTGCAGGGAACCAGGTTAGGCAGCTTGAGGGCCAGATATCACTACTCCCCCTGAAGCCCAGTCAACTCTCCCAGCATACTTCCTTTCTCTTGCCCCCATAAACTTGGAGTTTGGCTGGTACCACCTCCTCCTCTTCCCACGCTCCAGATCACTCCATTTATAACGAACAGAAACTGCAGCCTCAGGGCTCATTCCTTCTCATCCCCACACTGACTTCCACAACATGGAGTCTCTCTCCCCCTCTTTAAAATGTTAACATAATTAAGAGAACTGAGGTTGTACCCAACTGTTACTGTAACACTACCCCAGGCTGCAGCACCCCAAGCAGCTGGTTACACAGCTTTTGTCTGTCCGCCCCAGACAAAAGGCTCGTGGCTTGATCTCCAGCTATTAGACCTGCCCACCATCCCTCCCCGCCTCCTCCCTCACCACCACCACAAGAAGTTTCTATCCCCATTCTCATTTCAGTATCTTTTCTCTATGCTCTCTGGAAAACTACTGACTTCCCAGAGGCAAATCCCTCCTGCTTCTAGCAGACTGGAGTACTTTGCGGCATTCAGGTAACACTGTCAGCATCTAGCCCGTTCAAAAAGCAGAATTATCTTGTATTTACAGAGCACCCATTCTTCATACCCATGTTACAAAAGTATCTTCAAAATATCCAAAATACCTCATGTACCCCATTAACTAGTCGCCATCACAAAAGGCAGAGGCACATGCAACTCTAGTAGGCAATACTACTGCTCCTTGTCTTCTCAAACTAGACCTCCCCTTCCAGTTGCCAAGGGACTTTGGAGCCCCCCGGTATCCCACCTTGCCCTCAAAGCAGCAGCATCCTTAGTGAAGTCGCCTTTTAAAACATTTTGGGGGAAAGCGACAGAACACGTCTCCTACAAAGTCCTCCCCCACCCCCCTCTGCACAAGTACACATCTAGAAAGCCCACGCCCAGGATCCCTTTCTTCCTTCCTGGCAGCTCTCATTCTACCTCCCCTTGCACATCCCCTCCCCACCTCCCTTTGTTCAGGTAGGCAGACTACTGAGCTTCCAAAAACAAGCCAACCCTCGGCAAGGCCCTCAAAATCCCATTACCTGTGGAAAATGCTCCGCGGGTCCAACCACCAGCAAGATAGTTGGTCTCCTTTCAGCAGAATCAGTTCCTCTGTCCTGTGACTTCCCCAACAGCTTTGGGCCCTTGTCCCCTGGGTCTGGAACTGGGGTCATCTCTTTGGCTTTATCCTCTTTTCCTTCTGTAGGACCTTGGCACGTAGCCTTGAGAAATAGGCTAGACAGAAAGTGCCAGAGGATCTGCAGCATCACTGCTTGAGTGAGAGTCCCAGGCAGGGAAATCCTGCACAATCAGTAGCTGCCGGCTGCCAAAGATGTGACTGTACTACCAAGCACCCCAAAATGGGAATCTGCACAGCAGCCAGAAAGAGGTTCAACCCAGTAACTCCAGTGGCTCAGATTTTTTAACAGGCTACTCCTACAGCCACTTCCTGCCTTTTGAAATTGCTGCT